AGTTTGTTCTGGTTTTGACAAATTAAAGAAATGTAATTCCATTTTAAAGGTCACTTAAAATCAACCGCCCTTATTTAACAGATGAGAAAAAGATAACCTTGAGGTTTTACAGCTAGGAGCAGAAGGCTGGGTCCAGAGGACCCACCCTCACTTTTGTATGTACTTTAGTGTAACAGTAGCTGGCTGTGCATCTCAGTTTGTGTATCCTCAGAGAAAGGCTGTGTGTCCTTTCCCTGAGGGGTACAGGAAACAATCCATGTGTTTACCAACTTGATATGACAAACAGCAACATATGTACATGTGTGTGAAAGTGGCAAAACAGGATTTTTACCCAGTTTATGCTCCCTGCAACTTTGGTGTATGTTTATTTACCCAAGCATCATAAAGGGTCCAACAGACCCACATCACTCCAGAATTTGTTAAAAAGTTTTCTTTATATTTTTCTGGTAGAAGTAACCCAATTCTGTACAATAGCAGATGAAAAATCAGATATGCAAGTTTTGGAGGAAGTCAAAAGTGAATCATCAAATTACTCATGTGGGAATGATGAAGATGATCCATTACGGTAAAGTACATGCTTTCATGACAGAAGGGTGGTATGGATATATGATGAGGATGATGAGGATGAGGATGATGAGGATGAGGATGATGAGGATGAGGATGAGGATGGTGATGATGATGACGATGACGATGATGACAACTTTGATGTTGGCCATGTGAGCCAAAGTTCCTGCAGCAGTGAAATGGAGCAAGAATCCACTGATACAGACACAGGGAATGTAGACCTCCTTGATTCAGATGACAAAGAAAACAGCAATGTGAGTACATATTTGACTAGATGAAATGTGGCAAAATGGCCACACAACCCAATGGAACAATTCAACGTTAGAACTAGGTCCAAAAGTACACTGAGGGTCTCGGCAGGGGTGAAAGGTATTGGACAGAATGCCCGCACTGCCATTCAATGTTAGAAACTGTAACAGACAAAATGTTACAAGATGCTGTGAAATACACAAAGGTTGAAACGCAAGTAAAATATCCTGCGTGCGCCAATAGCCACATTAAAAAATGTATTTAGTATGATACCTCACTAGCTGAACTGACAGCATTTATAGATCTGCTGTATTTAGCAGGGATTTATCATGGTGACTACAGGAATATAAAAGACTTATGGAGAAGTGATGGGTCAAAATATGGCATAAAAATTTATGCCCTTGTAGATGTGACGACTTATGCTTTCAATTTAGACATGTATCCTGGAACTCAGCCGGCAAGTCCTTATTCATATAGTAAAAAACTGAGTGATATTGTGTTTTGTTGGTTTTTTTTTTTTGTTTTTTTGTTTTGTTTTGTTTTTTTTGGTTTTTCTCCGGTACCGGGAACCGAACTCACGACCTTGCGTTTGCCAGGCAGGAGCTTTTGCCGCTGAGCTAAATCCCCAGCCCCTGAGTGATATTGTGAACACACTTATTGCTCCCCTCTCCCAAACTAATCAGAATGTGACATTTGACAATTGGCTTACCAGTTTCCAATTGATGTTACATTTGCTAAGTCGACCAGCACAAGAACTATACATAGGCACAAAGCAGAAATTCCAAATGAAGTATTTCCATCTCAAAACAGACAACTGTACAGTACAATCTTTGGATTTCAGAAAAATGTAACACTGGCATTGTATATGGCAAAGAAAAACAAACTGTACTGCTAATGTCAACATTCCACCATGATAAGAATACTGATAGGGAAACCTCGACAAAACAGAAGCCTGAGATGGAAACGTTCTCCAGCAAAACCAAGGGTGGAGTAGATGTTGATGATGAATTATGCAGCAACTACAGTGTCACTTGAAATACAAAGCTGTGGCCAATGGTTGTGTTTTACTTGATCCTAAACATTGTTTGGCATAAATAGGTCCATAGTTTACAAAAAAAGTAATTACAAAATCTCATGGAGAAATTTTCCTGGAGGATTGGGGCTGGAGCTCATAAGAGATGATTTACAGCAGAGGAAAAACAGAATGTTTCTGCCCAGAGAACTACACAATAACTTTGTGGAGCACACTGGTGAGCTGAGAGGTACACAGGCAGGCACAGCACCACAAAGACTTACTATGACAGCAGGAAAACAAAAATGTCACCTGTGCCCTCCAAGAAAGTACAAGAAAACCACACATACATGCTATCAGTGTAAGTAATACTTGTGTATGGAACATGCAGCTGTCATGTGTGAAGACTGCTTTGGCTGTGACAACTGAAGCAAAGCTTTTTTTTTTTTTTTTTTTGGTCTTTTTGAGACAAGGTCTCGCTATGCAGTTCAGGCTGGCCTTGAACTCACTTTTTAACTTAGGCTGGTCTTGAGCTCACAACAATCGTCCTGCTTCAGGCTCCCGAGTGCTGGGATTACAGGCATGCGCCACTATGCCTGGTTCAAACAAAGCTTATTTTTGAGGTAAGTTCTATCAGTATTTTCATTGTAGTTCTTATAGGAATTTATTTCTGATGTTATCTTTTAGTTTTTGAAAGTACACAGCTGATGTGAAAATGCTGGTGTTTATTCTAAATGCACAATACAAATTAAAAATTTAATACTTCATTTTACTGACATTTTATGTTCCTGTTAACAACACACTATATAATACAGTAAGAACCTCCTGCCAAAACAGCAACACCACTGAGATGTCAAGTATGTCCCACAAAAAGGCCAGGAAAGCAAAACACATGTGCTGTCCGTGTAAGTGATACATGGGTATGGAACGTGCAGTTGTCATGTGTGCAGACTGCCTGGGGTCTGATAACTGAAGTGAAGATTACTTTTTTTGTAAAGTGCTATTGGTATTTTCATTTCAGTTCATATAAGAATATATTTGTGTTGTTCTTTTTTAGACTTAAGATACCAAAAAACAATTGATGTTGAATATTTTGATGCTTTTTTTATAAACGTGATAAATATTAAAAATTCAATGCTTTATTTTTGTGATATTTCTCCTGCTAAGTACTTGTTGCTTAACATAATAGAACTCATAATATTAATAATTCATCAATAGAAATATTCAAAGAATAAAAGTGGGTCTGACAGAACCGTGTTTCCGCACCTTGATGACAAAATTAGTGTTCTGCTCTCTAAGAACTCACAGCTCAGGCTTGGGGAAGGGGTGGGGTAGTCGAGGGAAAACTGCTACTCTTTCAATTAAAATCTCATCTTCAAGTGGACATTTAATCAGCAGATGACCTATCTTTATCTCTCTGAACATTGATAAAAAAATGCTTGAGCACTTACTATGTCCCACGTGTTGGGGCTATTCTAGAAATTACTATATATCTAGCAAAGAAGTACTGTAACAAGTCTACCTTCTATTTCAGCAAATATGTAAGTTACTGTCACATTTTAAAAATTCCTTTAGTCTTCACTCCACAAGTGCAAGTGATCTTGCGCTCCTACGCAGGGGTAGGTGTGTACACACAGCATCTATACCTATTTCCTCAAGGGCGTAGCTGTCCCAGCCCTAGAGCTGTAGTCTCTATTGCTAGTGCCAGCTGACCTAGTGACAAGAGGAAAGGACTACCTTGGGCTTAGAGCTGACAATGGATTAAGAAGAAATAAGGGAGCCTTGTTTACTGATGAGTCATTTAAAAGGAGGAAAGTGGCCAAGACCCAGGATAAGCAGGGACTAAGGTGCCCCAAATGATCACACGCAGCCCTAGATCAGGGATCCCATTCTTGCCCTAGGGTGCTCTACCACTGAGTTACATCTCTAGCCCTTTTTAATTTTTATTGTGACAGTCTTGCTAGTAAGTTGACCAGGCTGGCATCAATCTCATGATCCTTCTGCCTAAGGCTAATACGTGACTTTTGCGTGAGGCTCCCTAGAAATCTTATGCTGGGTTTGTCCTAGGTGAGCAACAGGAGGCATCTGTCTTTTGCATTAACAAATGACGCAACAACTGGAACTAGAAAGGAGGTGACTCACCCTGAATTACTTCTACTTTCATCCTCTTTAAAGTTACTCAGATTAACAGCAGTGCACTTCCAACCCATTATGGAGAAAACAAGCTGGGAAATAAATCTGAAAATAATTAACCAACTAGTGATTTTTAATTTGTATAGCTTTTTTGGGAATTGACAATTAAGAATTTCATCAAAATCAATACAAACTTACCTATGCCAACTTCCTGCTTCTGAAATGCACCTGGTTCTTTTGATAAACAGGAGTTTCCGGTAATTAGAAGTAGGTGAGAGCTACGTACACTCTACCCCTAACCTTTATGTCAGCATCAATCCAAACTACATCATAGTACCTGAACCGGCAAGCCCCAGAACAAACACCCTGTCCTTTTCTGACAGAAGTTCTCCTCTTGTGCTCAAGCACTTTGACGAGCATAACTCAGATTCCCTCAGAAATACCATCCTCAGAGTAAGACGAGCAAAGTTTATAGCTGAGTAGAGAACATCATGTTTCAAAAAGGGGGGTAACCACAGACCTCGGGCGCTGCTTTAATGGTGTCAGGGTGCTGGGGTTGGCAGGCTCTGATTACTTTATTCAGCCAAGGCTGGTGGGGCCCTTACCATTCCGTTTACCAATACTCTTCAACATCCATTTGTACATATAGAAGTGCATACTCTGACTCTGCATAGAGTCAAATTATGTGAAAGCCACCTTAATATTAAAATCATGGTTCTAAATAAGATTTTAAAAAGAATTATGGTTTTGCCATTACCATTTTGACAACTGGAAAAATATTTGTTGCACTTAACCACGTTATGTTCAACCTTAACCACAACCTGGCATCCCTGTTTTAAAGATGAGAACACTTCAGTTGAGATTGAGAGAAGCTAAGAAAGTCAGTCAAAATTACAACCAGACAGCACTCAAAGGTGGTCCCGCCCAGCTCCAAATCCCTAGACATTTTCCTGTTTGTTACCCCTAAACAAATCTAAAATGTTCAAGTACACAACCCAAAATGGCAAAATCATACCAACACACCACTTGTCTTATTTCATACCTTTAATCCTCTGAAACTTCCAGGGCTGGTTGGAGAGGAGCTGGAGGATTTTGTAGATTTAGGAGTGGAAAGTTGGCTGCTGGGAGTTCCGTTAACTGACCGTGAGACAACAAAGGAGACAAAGGCCATCAAAACCCCGAACAGCTAGATTGTGTAAAACCACTAAATACATGCATAACATAGCTCCAATAAAAGTTCAGTTCATTTAAAATAAAGCTCAAAGCAGATGGCGAATCAGCAAAAAGCAAAAATAATGTATTTTATTGCATTACAGACAAAAAAAGTCAGACAAGGAGTGAAAACAGAATTATTTTCAGTAATAGCTTTCCAATAGTAGTATCAACAAATATCTAAGACACTGTAGAATTGGGTGTGTGTGTGTGCGTGTATGTGTGTGTGAACTTGTACACATATCTTGGCTGTCAGAAAGTAAATGACTGGCTGTTATGTTATGATTTACCGTGAAGCTTATTCCATAACCTCCAACATCCATCCACTATCCTCCTGTATCCTAACCCAAAAGACCGACAAGTTCTTACAGCTCCCTCAAATCAGCTACACCACAGTCCAAGCATATTTTCTAAGTACATTTTTTTTTACTCAACATTGAACCCAGGGTCTCACACATCCTAAGAACATACTCTACATGGTTTGACAGCTCCAGAGCTCTACTCTCTTACGTATATTCTTAATGAAAAGGGGAAATTATTGATTGTTACCTTATAATATTTACTTATTTGGTTAAAGGGAATAAAAGACATTCCTCAAATTTTTAAAAATCTAGGCTAGTTATTTCTAACTCTTTGTATTTTGTTTCCTTCATGGCTTAATTTCCCCATTACTTAGCAAAGCAAATCCTGGTAGTTTTCCTATACAGCCCCTCCAAACCCCCATAAACTTCCTTGGTTGGAAGTTTGACTTAGATCCCATGTCAGGAAAAGTACGGCCAGCACGGCTAAGAGGGAGGTTAATGCCCAGATCCTATCTTCCAGAATGCCGGGTAAATGTTTCAGTACCGCTCACCCTGACTATGTCACCTACATCCACTTCTGCAGTGATTTCACAGAGCTGGTTGACATCTAGCATTAGTATTTTTCCTCCTCTAAAGAGTACTTGTAATCCCTTTTATTAATAACCCTAAAAGTTTTCCCCCAAAGTGGATAAATACTGCCATCCATCTTTATGGATAAAAAAATAGCAAAATCCATCTGCCTTTTTTTAAACACGAGAGAGTTTTAAATAATTCTAATAAGTATAAAAAGCCAAATGCAGAGGTAAGGGCCCTGAACAGAGGACTCCAAAAGCGAGTACCAGTCCTTAAATATAAGTAGAAAAATCTGGATCAGCAAGTATTTACAAATAGATGAATCATTTAACAGATATATCTGTACTTAGTCATTATTTATTGTATTGCTCATTTTAAAACTTCAGTGAATGTGACATTTTTCACTTATTTTTATATTTTCAAACTTTAATTTTTCTAACCCTAAATCACTCAGTTCAGTTCTCTAAATGAATTTATGCAGTACTCCGAATACAACACAAATAACTGCAATTAGAAATATTTAAGAGTATTTACCAGCCCTTATAATTTCTCAAGTTAATTTCAATTAATGTTATTTCTTTTAAAATTTTTTAAAATGGGTAAAGCATAAAGGCATTGAAACTGTCTGTATGACACTATCATGCCATCAGAATTGTTCTTCTAAGCTACAGCATGTACACCATCGAGAGTGAATGCCACTGCAAACTGTGACCCTGCATGATAATGACATGCTGACTGCAGCAGACGGACCATTCTGAGCCAGCGTGGTGGCACATGCGTATCATCTCAGCACTCAGGAAGGCGCAGGCAGGAGGATCCCAGCCTGGGCAGCTTAGAAACTTAAGAATGGCTCAAAATACATTTAAAAATATTTTTTTTAAGGCTGGAAGTATAGCTCAGTGCAAAGACTCTGGGTTCAATCCTCAGAACTGCAAGAAAAAATGAAAATATTTTTGAAAAGTGCCAATAGGAGGCTGTGTGTTTGGGGGCCAGACGTACCCCAAAGAGGACCTGCACCTTCTGCTCAGTTTTGCTGTGAACTTAAAAACGGCTGGAATAACTGGTCTCTAAAAACATTCTTTTAAAGGATTCACATAAAATAAGAGATTACTGTGAACGATACATTCCTAAGCTTACTGTGAGTCCAGACTGAATTTCATTTTTTTCCTTCCTCCATCCCACAGGACAATCTGTACCGGTCGCAAGGTCCTTATCAATCAACACTGTCAGCTTTCACTACTACTCCGACACCACGCTGAGAGCAAAGGCATAGGAGAAAACCTGTCCCTGTGGACAGCTGTGTGAAAATCCACTCCTTGCCTAAGTGGAGTGTCTTAGCAAAACTCACTGCCACCCATTTCACCCATGTCAGTAACTACACTTGGCATTCACTCTAAAGAGACCTAGTCCTGTGTAGCCTCACCGTTCTCAATGGCACTTGCAAGGTTCTAAAAACTGTTCTTTAATAAAAACTCCTTAATTTCACTCACTTGCACATTTCTCTGGAGTTTGGGGTGGCTACACGAGACTCTGGACAAGGCCTTGGGGCATCCCTGCCATATCCCTGCTGCGCTCCACGATGACCAGCCGGCATCTCACAACGCTCCCACTCCTCACTACTCTCCTGTCTCTCCTAAAACCTTTTTCTTAGGGGGCAAGTTTTACTGGGAATCCAACTCAGGACCTCACGCTTGCCAGGCAAGCACTGCATCACTGAGCTAATCCCTAGCCCCTCTCCTAAAATCTTACCCCTTCCATTCAACAATGAGAGGGAAACTTGGGGGGCTTTTTTTGTTTATTGGCTCTCCATAATTTTTATCCTGGTATACTATGAAAGATTCATTCATAAGCCTAAAACCTAAAATAAGAATTTTTAAGGCTTAAACTACAGTAACTACCTATTTATGTTACCCGGATTACTGTCTATGTGTTTATTACTATTTAGCTATTTTGGTAGGTTTTTGTTGAAGGATTTAGTGAATCAGAAGACTACTCAAAATAGCACTTTGGCCCCAAGTTTAAAAGGCTATCATGTTATGCTCACAAAGTTACTTATTCTTTTTGAATGTCTAATCAGTCCCTTGGAATTCTTCTTTTTGAGCTAAAGGTCTCTAAATTGCCAAGCTGACCTTGAACTCCTAGGATTGAGTGATCCCCCTGCTCAGCGTCCAGGGAGCTGGAACTGAGGTGGGCATCAACATGCCAGGCTTTCTTGCAAATTTTAAAATGGCAACAGGTATACTACAGCTAAAGCAGTCTGTAAAAGCAAGTAATACTACTTCTGGTACTGCGGCTTCTAATACTACAGAACTCTATCCCTCCTGGTGATACAGAATGGGGAAAACACACATGGAGATAGATCTACTTTCTGGGTAACATGAGCAGCTTCCTTCAGAGTAACAGTGAAATGCCAGCAATGGGCTCCCGCTTGCAGTTTTCTGTAACGTAAGTGCTGGATACACTTTGTTTTAAACTCTTATAGAAACCATTTGTCGGGGCTGGGGATTTAGCTCAGCGGCAAAGCGCCTGCCTGGCAAGTGCAAGGTCGTGAGTTCGGTTCCCGGTACCGGAGAAAAACCAAAAAAAAAAAGAAACCATTTGTCCTCGGAAATGTGATTTTAAAATCCCACAACTTTTACCTACTCTACCCAAATATGGATTCTGCATACTAGAATGCTACAATTTTCTTTAACCACACCAAATTCAAATTTTAAAATATCCTTTATATATCGTATTAGGCTGGTGATGGAGCAGTCAGTCTGCAGGGCAAATGTGGCAGTGAAACATTTGTAGTTCAGCATGTTGATTTTCCTCTCTGGGCTGCAGTGGACAAAACTGAATTAATCATACCGGATTTTTAAACCATCCTCTCCACTTTCATTTTTTTTTTTTAATGATGTGATAAGCATCTGTAAACCCACCACTTAAGATAAAAGCTATGAGATCTGACAAAAATCTACATCCAAATGTGATTTTCCCAGGTCACTGTGTTTATGCAAATTGCATATAGCAGCTTTCCTAGTTTTAGGCTATTTTACAGATAGCCTAATACAATTTAAAATAAGGTCAGCGGCAGAGAGACACCTCTAGTTAAGATAGTAAAAGTGTAAATAAACTATCATATATTCAGAGAGAGAGACACAGTACTGAGCCTGTACCTGTATAAAAAGTATAGTCTGCCTTCTTACATGTACAGGGAACATCTCATAATCCTATTCTGGCATGTTCTACTATCAAGCACTTTGAATGCCAGGATTTACATGATTCCTATGCCCTTCACCCCAGGAAGGAATGGAGAGGAACAATGTATCATTATTTCTATGCCCATTTGGTGCGACTAACACACGCTAGCACTTTTTCAGTAGTAACACTCCCAAGATGAACTAGAACAAAGAACCCCCTGAGGAGACAACGTCCCCCCAATCACTGCATCTCAACTACGCGCAGATTGGCACTTGGCAATCTGCCGGGAACCGTTCCTCTAATGAACACAGGAGGCTGAGGCACCCTACGCACTGTGAAACATTTCATAATGCACAGATGCACACTGGAATAAGCCAGATACACTCATGGAGATGGAGCAAAGGAAACAGAAACGTAGCAAAAGACAAAAACAAAACCCAGCACAGCAACAAAGCCACAGCGCTCATGGCTCACCTGGGGATTTGGCTGTAGAATAGGCACTGGAGTAGTGGCCACCCCGCTTTACTGTACACACGCAGTATACACAAGCAGAGGAGACAGTAAGGAGAGTGGTTATTCAGCAGTCTAAACGTGTATACAAAAAGAAGGGTCAGTCAGCCTGCCCTAAGGAGTGACGTGGCTGCTGCGGACAGCAGGGAAAGAGGAATGTCCAAGACAGTCTAGGAAGTTCGATGCTCAAAATGGTCTTCACCGATACTATGCTGACATAGTCTGGGTAGCCCATCTGGTAAATCATGATTTTTTACAATTTGCTTCTTAAGCAAATTATTCTTAATTACTATGAACAAACCCAGTGAATCAAGTTTTTGAGACATTTATGTAGGTTTACAATGTTTAAAAAAATGCCCACTCAAAATTGTGACAAATCTATAGGTTTAGGACCTGAAAGAAACTTCATTAGAGGAGTATCTAACTCTGACATAAGTACAACCTTCCAACAATAATCAAGGCTACCATTATATTGCTCGATGAAGGAAAGGCCGGAGGAAATGTATCAAGTATATGTATTTCTGCGTGAAGTGAATGCTTTATACCATATGAGATAACGTTAAGAACATAAATGTGGGGGCTGGGGATTTAGCTCAGCGGCAAAAGCGCCTGCCTGGCAAGCGCAAGGTCGTGAGTTCGGTTCCTGGTACCGGAGAAAAAACCAAAAAAAAAAAAAAGAACATAAATGTGGTCAAAATGTGAAAGCTTTCCATGTAAACAGCACAAGACGGCTGTAGATACTAAGAATCTCCTTGAGAACATGAAGAACAAAAACGTGCAAATCTCTCAGGAGACTCACAACTTTGGAAAACAAACCTAACTTTCTGGTTTTAAATTGCATGTCCTTTCTCTGCTGTTGTGGAACCTGGCTACACACCAGCCTGGCATAGACTACTGGTTCATAAACATTCAAGAAAACTGCAGGAGAAGGACCTGCCCGTGCTGGGAGCAGCCACCGCTCTTCCAGTCGTACCTGAAGCTGGTGACTTGCTGCGACGAGAGGGCCCAGGGCTTTTGGATCCGGAATACTTAACAGCTGAGGATCGAGAGTAAGATGACTTCAGGACACGGCATTCTGGAAAGGAACAAAAGTACATACGATAAATCAGATTTTAACAGAGCAGAAAGGCATACCATGCATGACCACAGTTTACCATGTACAACTGCTCTTTAACAACCTCTTTCTTTCTGAGACAGGTTTCAGGCTGGCCTCGAACTCACAATGATCCTTCTGCCTCCAGCTCTCCCCAGTTCTAAGACTGCACGTACACAACACCCGGCTGCCTGACAGCTTCACTACATTACCGGGGTCAAACCCAGGGCCTTGCGCATACTAGGCAAGTGCTCCACTGAGCTACGTCCTCAGTCCAATTAAACAACTTTGATGAACAAAGTAACTGAACAAAAGTACACCTGAGGTTATCATCAATCAGGCCACAGAACCTGTGACATTAGCTCACACTTCCAGATGAAGTTCTTACTGACCATAGAATACCAATGTCCTAACTTGATACACGGAAGCATCCGCAGCCTAACCCGTATGTGTGGAACTCTCCTTTTAATCAGCAGAACTGACAAGCGAAGACTCTGAGGTCATTATGTTCTTCAACTCCTTGGTTTTTATTTTGAACGGATAAGGGGCTTCCATTTCTGGACCACTGACTGTCTTATTTTCCATCTTCCAAAAGTGATGCACAAAATGAGGAAAATAGCTTTAAACAATAATTTTTGTCTCTCCCTAAGTTGCCAAATAAAAGTGTTTAAAGTACCAGAACTACAGCTAGAATAATCTCTTCTAATTTAAATAACTGAGAACATGAGTTTTGGAGTCAAGTAGATTTTGGGTGAATCATGGATTTCATATTTGCTAACTGGGAGACCTCAGTATCTTCCCTGAGAAATTGGGATAAGACTAAAATCTGTTTCATAGTCTTCTTGTAAGAGTTACATTAGATAAAATATTGTCTATAATTTACTTTAAAATACTTCAATTTACAAAGTTTAAAATGTGAATTAGCTTATAATCTGTCTTCCAGAGGCAGTAAATCCACCTATAGAGTACACTAATCAGGAAAATATACATGGGGGGGGGGCTGGGGATTTAGCTCAGCGGCTAAAGCGCCTGCCTGGCAAGTGCAAGGTCGTGAGTTCGGTTCCCGGTACCGGAGAAAAAAAACCAAAAAAAAAAAAAAAATGTATATATACATGGGAAGGCTAGTTAGCACCTGATAGACTCTAATCAAAACCTTACACAAAGGGCACAATAGCAACTTCTGCTTAATTAGTACTATGGGTGACGCCCACTGTCGAAAGATGTGGTGTGGGCCTGTTCCAAACATTTTAAAGGCAGTGCTATCTTTTATGAGCACGGTATGTAAACATACAGAGCAAATAACCTGGAACTTCAGAACTACACCCCGGGTTTAGGAATCAGAGCCAGTTCTACATCTAGCTTTTAGTAGAGAATTTGTAACTTGGCTAAGATTAACATAGCTGAATTCTATGTATTCTGAATGGATCTCTAATGCAAGATGTTGTAAAAAGCTTCACAAATGCTTTACTCTTATTAACATTATCCAAAGAAACCTAGAACAAATTATTATATTTCAGTGTCTCAACTTTCCATATGATGACTACTGCTACCACAGAAATATTATGAGGATAAAGCTGAAGTTAATAAAGATATAACCTATAGTGGTTAGTGTTAGGCAGAAATGAGACCTTAGCATGAGACAAGAGACCGGGGGCTGTAGGAAAAGCAAGAGAGATGTGATTTGTAAACATTTCCCTTTATTTTCTTATCCTTAAGCTATACATAAAATCCCAACAAGCTTATAGTTTCAAGCTATAGCCCAAGAGAATGTAAGACCCTCTGAGTATACTGATGAGGTCCAGGCCAGGGGTAAGGGGTTGGAAAAACCTCAAGGTCTCAGAACAAACTAAATGGAAAGATTCCACATGGGGAACAGGAGCCTTCTTTCTTCTCTCAGAAGTTGGTCAAAACAACCCATTTTCCCTTGTCCAAGAACAATGGCCTGGGAGGAAGGAAATGATACTCCTTGAAAACCCACTTCATCATATTAATGCAGTCTGAGCTCTCATTCAGTGCAACTGGTGTATTGGTACCTGCCCACATGCACACTTTAATGTGCCTTCTTTACTGCTCTAAAAATCTAACGCTTTACAATAAACTCTGCCCACACTCTATACAGCTGCCGAAGTACCTTGTCTAAATTCTCTCTTCAAAGACAGAACCAAGCAGCCTCACTGGTTCCTTGCAGTATTCGGACCAGGCTTCCTGGCGACAACAGGTAAATGCATACTTTTGTGGACCTTAATCTCACAGCACAGGGCACAGAAGGATATTATCTACCTTGATGTACTGTACGCTGATATTATCAACTTAAAGTAGGGTCTCTCCAATAGAATAATACAATATAGAAACCTTCAAGGAAATACACAGCAGAGACACAGGTGAAAAACAAAAAAACAAATGGGAGAGAAACTGTAGGCAGATGGGTAACCGATGCAGTGTAACAAGGAAGTATTACACAAGATGTTTTAATACTATAGAATGCATCATCTTAAATTTTAAAAAAGTAATGATGGATGTGGTGCCACACACCTGTACTTGGGAGGCTGAGGCAGGAGGATCACCACAAATTTGAGGTCAGCCTGGGCTACACAGTGAGTTCAAGGCCAGCCTGAACTACATAATGGGAGATCCTCAAAAACACAAACAGAACAAAAATCAAAATTTTAAAAAGCACTGGTGTCACTCTACTTGGCAATGCATTTCTCTAATTCTGGACTGCCATGACCAGCACAGTTATAAGTCTTTTACCATATATCTATTTTTTTGTAACAGCCAATATTTCTCAAATATGAGTGAGACTACATCTCTAAGACTGCTCTCTCTATGAAATCTTATGCTTGAATCACCTTACCTCAAAGATGAAGCTGACTTTATTATCAGCTAAAACAAACACTACTACTGTAACAGGTTTAAAGTAATAAAAACAATTACGGAAAGCCATATTCATAGAACCAATAACATCTGAAATCACTTAGATCACTGATAAATAGTTAAAAATTCTATATATTAACCAAAATTAAGAAAAAAGGATTTTTTTTCCCATTCCACTCATAAAATAGCTTCCCCCCCAATATATAAATAATACATGTGATTGGTTTTCTTAAAAAGTTGCAAACGAAACAATCAGATAAAAAAGAATTCTCAGCTCCTCACCAATAACAATTTAGTTATTACATACTCTTTTATGGCTTTTGCTTATTTATGGCGCTGGAAAAAAACCCAGGCACTCTACCACTGAACCACCTCCCCGGCATTTTTTTAAAAAGTGGTACTGAGAGTTGAATCCAGAGCCTTCCAACTGAACTACATCCCCAGCTCTTTTTATTTTTTATTTTGATACAGAGTCTAAATTACTAAATTTCCAGGCTGGGCTGAAAATTGCAGTCTTCCTGCCTCAGCCTCCCAGAATGTCATGGCCAGCTAAAGGTGATGAAGATAGTCAATGAATGGCCTTACCACTGTGATCCAGGACAAAGTCATCTTGGGCGTAACGGAATTTTTCAGGTCCACATGCAATAAAAACATCATCATCCCCAAAAAAGTCTTGCAGACAGGTAACCTAAAAAAAGAAATCACATGCAAAACATCAGAAACACTAGAAGTGAAATAAGCAGTTGGCAAAATGGAATACATAGCCTAGCTGCACACTTTTCCTTGATCTCAGAACAGCTGAATGAAGGTTCTTAGCACATAGCGATTCCTGTCTAACACATCAAGACAAACACGCAAGGGTGAGTGATTTTTTTTCCAGGGTTTCCTTATGGATGATGAAGCTAGGATGGAAGGAAGCCTCCACTCTCTGTTTGCTGTACTTCTCTCTTGTGTGTGACCTTGGACCTGACTTCTCTGTCTCTCTGGGTTGATGTCTTGGACTGCTATGAGGATTCACATCTAAAAACTGCTCAGCATGATCAATGCCTGCTGTGTACTGCAGTTGATGTGTTACAGGCATCATCCTCATTGGGATAAGAGGGGGTTTTGCCACGAAGCTAATGGCAGGCTGCAGGGCTCTCTCCGGGCCCTGCCCCTAAATGAGCAGTCTCCGTGTACGTTCAGTTATCAGAAAGCTGTCTCCATCCGTACCACAGCAGTATCAGAGCGCACAGAACCAGGCCCATCCCAGGGCACGTGTTCATGCATTCGTCCCGGTGCTAACAAGCAGAACCATTCGGGGACTCACGACAGACACAGGCTCTACCTTCACCTGTTTGCGATGGGCTGTGACAATTAAACAAAAATCTCTTAAAAGTACTTCATTTCCAATAATAAAATTTTTAAACACTGCCGCCGTTCCTGGAAGGCCTGAGCAGTCTCGGGATCCTTTACATCTCCCTCAGGATTATTAGCTTTTTATTGAGGAAAAAAATGTTCACTGTAGAGTTAGAAAGCAACGCTCCAGGGAGAAGACAGTGAACTAGATATAACGTAGATAGCACAGGTCATAGTAGAGAAACGAGTCCCACGACACACCTTTTAATTTTTGTGTGCACAGCCAACACACAGACATTAAGTGGCACTGGCACGCATTGTACCTCCTTTTTGCGGGACCCGGCTTCAATAGCTCCAGCCACGGTGTGTGAGGCTTTCAAGCAGGATCTTTTTATACTGAGAGTTATCCTGTCCTCTTTCTTCCCCAACCCCTCATGTCTAGTCCTATACAGTTCCAGTGTTTCTGCTCATGCCTTTGGTTCACACACTCGTTCCTTCTTGCCTGGACTCCTCAGTCCCACCTGCTCCCAGTCCCACCTGCTCCCAGTCCCACCTGCTCCCAGTCCCACCCTGCACCCTGCTTCTGCCCATTAGTACTCAGTCTCTCACTGCCCCTGCAGCCTGCACCACCTAGGACCTCAGCGCCTCGGCACCGAGAGGACGGGGCTCCCTCAGGGCTGCACCCTGCCAACCCTTCAACCTCCTCCTGGCCAGCTCTTTCTGCTACTCTGGGTTCCTACCTGCGTGGCATCAGGTGGGTTTTTTAAAAAAAATAGCTTTTCAAAACTAGGGTTCACATACCATAAACTTACCCATTCAAGGTACTCAATTCAATGGTTTTTAATATATTCTGAGTTGTTCAGCCATCCCCACAGTCCATTTTAGAATGTTTCCATCACCCCCAAAAGAAACCCCACACCAACAGCAGTCACGCCCCAGGCCACCCTTTCTTCAGCCCCAGCACCTGTGATCTACCTTCTGTCTCTAAGGATTTGCCTCTTCTAGGTATTTCCGAATCACACAGGAAGTGTGACTGAGACTGGTAGCACGGATCAGTCCCTGGCTGTGCGTTCAATGCACTTGTGCCCCATTCACTGGTGATGGATGCCTGGGATATTTCCACACCACTGCTGGCTCCTCCTTTCCTCATGCTGTCACCAGCCCCTGCTGACACCCTTCAGCGCCGAGCCCATGGGCGCTTCCTGTTCATCATGCCCTCTGGGCCTCGGGAAGTTCCTGCTTTTGTGAATGCTTAATACACATCTGCTGAATGAGGCTGTGAGGAGTTGCTCCTACCGGAAATGAGCGACAAAGAACAACTTCTCCAGGGCAAGTGGTGCACAGCTGTGACCCAGGCTGCCATCACTGCCACTTACAGTCAGGACTTCCTAAGTACCTCTCCGAATTCTCTATCGTGAGAATTCTCTATCGTGAGACGTTCTCCGGAATCCACGCCACAATAGTGCGGCCCATGCTGTTACCACTGTCCTCACTCCCAAGTGGGAAGACACACCTCAGGACGGAGACTTACCCTTACACAGGTAAGGAACGCGCGCGCTGGGAGTTAGATGCGCGTCTTCCACTTCTGACATCTCTGCTCTCATCTTCTTTTGTTTGGTTTTGGCAGCGTGGGGTATGAAACCCAGGCCCCCGGCCATGCTAGGCCAACACCTGACCCGCACCCCTCCCCTCCGCGCGTTAACCTGAGCACCGCTGCTCTCCCTCCTCTCCAACCCTGCGGTTCATTTCCTACTCCTCATTCTTATTCACTTTACTTACAGTCACGTAGGTCTAGCTCCTATTTCCCACTACTTTGTTTTTTATGTACATTTATTGAACAAATGGTTTGAATCCAGTTTTATTTCCCTGGCCAAGTAAAACAAGTGTCTACTGAAGTTTAACTCAACTCTTTGAGAAATAAAAATTTTATTTGCTTTTATAATCAAATTAGAATGAAAAAATAATGAATTCTCTAAAATATACTCCAGTGCCTGACAAAAGCAAGTTAATTCTTAATTGATTTTATTAAAAAGAAAATGTTTCATCCGGTACTAAATTACTTGGCATTTGACTAGAGTGACAACATTTATTATGCAGCATAAAAGCATTTAACAGGTCTCAGGAACAGAACACATCAAAGCAGTGCCTTATTTTCCACACCAGTTCTACAAAGTGCTTCCTAACCCTCTTTTAATGATTGCACCTGTCAACTTAAATTTAGATTGGTTGTTTGTATGTCTGTCTCCCCCATTCAGGCTCTAGTCACTGACTAATTAGTTAACCAAATTACGTGACTTTTAATTAGGTCAGATATGGCTCAAGTAAGTCACCAGTGCTCTCAAGAAATGACAGCTTCTAGGAGGCTGAGGCAGGAGGGTCACAAGCCTGAGGCCCACTTGGGCAACTCTGTGACTCAGTGAGACCCTATCTGAAAACAACAACAAAAAGGAGCTGGGGGTCTAGTTCAGTTCAAATACCTTGGGTACAATCCCCACTACAGTACCATTAAAAAAAGATAGCTATCAAGTGAATATATCTATCAAGTGAATCAAAAAGTATAGCTATCAAGTGAATATACCACTATCAAGTGGTATAGCTGAAACACACAAAACACACATCACAATCATATTATAAATGTATACTCAGGACAGTGGCATATTTCCCAAAACATGAAACCCTTTCCACCACCATTCAAAACATTTTTATTCAGCACTTAATTGCCAAGTACTAATCTAGGTGCCAGAGATACCAGTAAAAAAAGACAAAAATTGAGCAAATATGGGGAGAAACAACAAAACGCACATTGGATGTACGCAGAGTCGGAAGGCAGACAGTGTCTGGGGAAAGGTCGAGCATGGAAGGGGACGGCTTCTGAAATACTAAACAGGGTGCTCAGGAAGGCCTCGTGGCCAAGGTGCCTTCTGCACAACACACTTAAGACAGTGAGGGAACAAGGCTGGTGGAGCACTTGGAGGAAAAGCATCCCCCGCACAAGGAACAGAATGCGCAAACGCCCTGTGGAGAGATCAGGCCTGGAATGTTCACAGGAAACAGCACGGGGAAGTTCCTGGCACACCGTGAGAGAGGAAAAGTCACGGAAGGAGCAGAGATCAGAAGGCACAGGGAGGCCCTGGCGGCCACTGGTAAGGAGAGCTTTACTCTCGGGGGAAACACTGGATGCCTGCACTGTAGGACCTGTATGTTAGTAGCTTCATGTGAAGACTACACTGTAGGAACTTAAAATCCTCAAGAAACCAAACAATCCCACGTAGAAATGGACAAATGGTCTGAATAGACATTTCTCCAAAGAAATACAAATGACCAACAAATACACGGGAAAAATATGTTCAACATCACGGTGCGAGCGAGGTATCACCTCACTCCAGTCAGAGAGGCTATCACCCAAAAGAGCAAAAACGTAACTGCTAGTGAACATGCAGAGAAAAAGGAATTCTTCCACACTCTTAAAGGAATGTACGCTAGTATAGCCAGAATAGAGGTCAGTATGGGAGTTCCTTAAAACTGAAGTAGAACTACGGTGATCTAGCAAGCCTGCTTCCGGGTATATATGCAAAGAAAATGAAATGAGCATATGAAAGAGACATCCGAACTCCCAAGTGCAGGGCAGCCTCGCAACAGCCAATGTAGGGAACCAAGTGCGGAGGGGTCCACTAACAGGTGAATGAAGAAAATACGATACACATCCTTGCACACAGTGGAATGTTACTTGGCTATAAAAACAGCGAAATCCTAATCAGTATAACTATAAGATGCACTACAAACAGAACAGGGATCAGGTGAATCTAAACCAACACCTATCTAAGGAGAACGAGCAGATCTGAGTTCTATTTTCACTGTGTGGGGAATCTATGGCACCTATGCCCTAGTGGGCTGTTTTTATCATTGAAAGTTCTACAAGGTCCGCCATCACTGGGTAACTCATTTGTGTATCTAATCTACAGGCACCAGTCTGAAGCCTGAGCTGACCACAAGCTTTTGCAAGGAGTGAAAAAACACACTGCCGAGCCTACTGCCACCACCACACACACACATGCACACACGTGTGTGCACACACATGCATGCACACTCACGCAGGCATGCATAGTCCTGGAAAAAATACTTAACCTGAGGCTGTTCCTTCATCTGCAAAACCCGCAGGAAACCCGTTCTGCCTAATCTACAAGGATTAAGTATGAAAACGTGTGAAAGCTATTGGTGTGTTACTTCATTAATTCATGGCCTCAACTTTTAAAAAATTTACCTTAATAGATAATTCTTCCCTATAAGTGTAAACAAGACATATTTATAAATTAGGTATTTTCCCAGAAAATAACACTAACAACTTGTAAA